TTTTTTTTTTTTTTTTTTTTTTTTTTTTTTTTTTTTTTTTTTTTTTTTTTTTTTTTTTTTTTGTAAGAAAACATCCTTCTGAGTTTTGGAAAATTGAAGCAACCCCATCAACATAAGCACAAATTTTTTTTCCTAGCAAATCATTCTTTATGAACCCATGACAAGTCATTTCTGAATGTTTCTTCGGGAAGAACACAAAAAACACAATGAATAATTTTTTTTTCATGTACTAGTAATACAATTATACGTCATTAAAATTTATACCAATTGACTAGATGAAATTAAAAGGCACTAGATAAAGTGACATGCATATTTTATGGTTATATTGAGGTCATCTAGTTAGATTATGTCATGATCGCTAATGAAATAAGTGGATCCAATCTTACTACAATATTATATTATCTTACTCAAATTGTACAAAATTTATGAAATGACATAGTTGTTTGAATCATATTGTGTGACATGATATTGTTATCAAAAGTACAGGAGAAAGATCTAGAGTACTAAAGACTAAAAGAAAACTGAAAACATATGAACTGTATAAGAATCTGTGGCAGTAGTTGATTCTTTATGAAGATCAAGAAGTGGATGGAGAATCCAAAAAGATGAACAAACCAACAAATTGATCCAAAAAGAATCGAACAGTTGGTGGAGTTGAATTGGAAGAACATAACCAAACAGGAACTTAATTGATGTGAAGAAAAATGAAGGTAAGGCAAAGAAACACACTGGACGTACTTGAATTCTTTGGATTGGTATAATCTGAATCACCAAGAAAACTAATTCTTGTAAGCTCATTTATTCCTCACAAAACTGTAAGCTTAATAATAATGTACATGAAAGTTGGTTACTGAATTTGGTATTATTTTGAGTTGATACTAATTAGTAATTGGAAGGGTGGATTGTGGGAACCCCGTTCTCTTGACGAACCTCCCTTTCATTCTGGGCCTCTTCTCTGCATTCAGTTTCCTTACTTCGTACCTTATTTTCTTCGAAAACAACCTCGTCCGCCGCTTCTCCCTGTACCGCGACACCCTCGCCTCCCTCCCCCCGTCCCTCCCCCCCCCATATTCCCCACATCTCACTCCACATATCGCCTGCATCAACGCAAATTTATTCAATTAATTAATTAATTAAGGGGTTGAAGGCATTTTTTTTTTTTGAAGGACAAAGTGAAAAATACCATGCAGTGGGGCCACGAGCTGTCCGGCTCGAAATCCGGGCGTTCTCCGGTCGTCCATGGAGACTTATCGTTACCCCAGGCTGCAATCACTGCGTCACAGTCCAATTGCAACCCCACTTTTCTCTTCTTCTTCACTTTATCTTCTTCCACTTTACAATCCTCCTCTTCTCTTTCATTCTTCACTCCCACCATCTTCAATTCCTGCTCGTACTCCTCGAAGTTCAATTCGAATGGTTCTCTCATCAGATCCACCTCAGCCTCCAATTCATTCTCGAATCTACAATTTCCTCTGTCGGCTTCTTCACCATCTTCCTCCCCCTTAACTCTCCGGGTTGACGTGTCATCTTTTTCTATGCTCAGCCCAATACCCAGCCCCTCCATGTCAAAGCACTCGCTCTCTAAATTCCTCCCCAGCAAGCTCTCCACGTCGGCTGCAAACTCTTCCAGATCCAAATCGGAGGGGAGGAACCCATGAAAATTCCCTGCCTCATCACCCATCGATTTGGAGGATTGGGTTTCCTCAACAAACGGCTCAAACGTGGGGACTCTATACAACAGATGATCCTCTTCATTCTCTTCAACCCAGGTGCCGTCGTCCGCCTCTGGCACCAGGGAGAACGAGGGGTTGGACAGAAGGGGGACAACATCGTCGGACTTACGCCGTGGGCGCGGGGTGCGTGGCTTCCGGGTGAACCCGGATACCCAGGACGGAGAAGGGGGTTTTGAGGAGGCGGTGTTGAGGCGGAGGCGTTGATGGCGGCGAGCAAGAGGGTTGGCAGAGTGGACGGCGGAGTCGCAGGATTGGCAGAGGAAAGCGTCGTCTGCGGCGCAGTACCAACGGGCACGCTTACGGACGCAACTGTCGCAGGCTCTAGCGGTCTTGCCGCCCACTGCGTTGGCTATGTTTTTGGTTAACATGTTTTGAAGCAGTTTCAATTTGGGATAACACTCAAAGGGGAGTGGAGAAATGAGAGGAAAAGTAGGTGGGTGGGTGCATGGGGGAAGGAAACAACTCTAATCACGACCCAGTTTGCGAAAAATTGTTGGCGTCGGGCGCTTTACTTAGAGGCAGAACATGTAAGAATAATGGCCCCACTTTTGTGGTCACTCATTTCTACTGGATAAAAAAAGTATTTATACAATTGAAGCCATGAACTGTGATGATTATTATAAAACAACACACACTTCAATTTAATCGTAAAAATTAAAACCAGAACAAAAATTGAGGATGGTTCGGGAAGAGTATGTTTTGTTTGGGTTCGCTTTAACGCCATGACCCACATGTTGCTCTTTTTACAGTCCATGGAACAGCGGTCTGTGTTTGAGCATTGCAGTTTGAAGGTTATCCATGGCCACGGAAGAGAGAGAGAGAGAGAGAGAGAGAGAGAGAGGTCTTATCTGGTTTCCAATTGGGTGAGGGTGTAATATGATCCTAATCTGTGGACTCCCATTGGGCAGCTCTCTAATCGCAGGGATTTCATGGTGGGGCACACCCAGAAAGCGAAGCCAGTCTTCATCCTCTGGGGTTGAAGGGGACTTCGTGGGGTATTGTGGGGTATTGTGGGGTTTTGCGGGGTTTTGTTGGTTTGCCTCTCTTTTCTCACTTAAAAAGTTGAGTTCTTGTTTGGAGGTTAAATGGGCCCATTCGAGTGCCACCTAATTTTGGTCCCTCTCAATTATTCTTTCTATGCACTAAAATGAACACAACCAAACCCATTTCTCACCCCCACCTTTCCCTTTCCAGTAATTTGTGGGTTAAATTACTCGATTCCTCTTCCATCTTTCACGTTTGCATTTAATTTCTAAAATAAAAATGTAACCATGCATGTCCATGATTCAAATCAAGATTTGAAATTCAGATTCGACACTTAATGGCCTTGACATTTTCCTACATCATGTGCGACAGGCTCATTTTACTTACTTCTCATTTATATGAATGAAGATTATCCCCACAAACCAATATAAGTCCTTCCAACATGATCATGCTTTGTCCTCACTCGCATGCATTTTAAATTTTTTTTCAAAAGATCACATAACATAAAATTGCTCTAAGTAAAATACGATTAACTATAGCGTTCCTATGATTGAGCCATCGAAAATGAATTTGCACCTTATACAGATGACAACACGTCGCTGTAAAGGCCATGAACCGAAGTTAAGATAGTTGCATTTATATTTAAATGGTATCTCTTATTGTTGGATCATGAGGTTATTTTTATTTGAAATAGATTTTATGAATGATTAAGTCATGACATGGTTTACAAAATACTTATTAAAAAATTTCTATGTAAATAAAATAAATAAAAAAAAAAACTAAAATAAATAAAGAAAAGAGACAAAAACAAACGCAATTGAATTTTGGGCATTTTCTTCCCGTTTACTCGTGACTTGGATGGGTCGGTTTGTGTTGTCCCCAGTAGGATGCCATTATTAGTATAATGATGTGTGCATTATAGGCCAAAGAGATATTGTCCATTTGGGTGTGGTACATTTTTTTTTTTGAAATTCTGCAGTACATTCTCACATTGATGTAACAATCATAGGAATTATGTGTATATTTTTAAAAATGTATGCCAAGATATTATTTTATAGTAACTAATATCCTTCCGTCGTTGTCTTGTATGGAAATTATCTCAATTTGTGAATTATACTTATGGTCGTAAGATTTCGCAAAAAATTAATTCCTTAACCTTATTCTCGAACAATTTTCATCATTCCAACTCATTCCTCTCTCTCTCATTCTCAATCTCTTAGTCATCCTTTACCCAATACCAATTTTAAAAACAAGGATAAGAAGAAAGAGAGCAGAGAAATCGAGTTTAAAATTAGCTTCGAAACTAAACTTCAACCAATAAGATCAAACTAACATCAATTCGAAAAATTCAGTGATCTTGATTTAGGCCATCTAAGGAAGTGATTTCACTTTAACAACCATAAATAAATAAATAAATAAAAAAACAAAATTAGTTAATTAATGAAGAAGAGAAAACGTTTCACCTCCCTCTCAACAATGTTATAAACTAAAAAATGTAAGCAGCAACAATGACTTTGATAACATATAACTCAGATATGAAAAATTGACAACTAGGCACGTCCCTTTATAGTACATTTTGGAGCATTTTAGCCTTGGCAGATGTAGACATGATTTTGGTGATTGGTCATACACATATGTATTGTCACAACCAGAAATATTAAAGACCTATTTAACATGAAAGCAAGTAAAACGAGTTTTGGAACGGGCATCTGGTCATAGACAATATGTCCTTAACAAGCATGACTGAGACATTTGACTTGTGGTCATATGCAATACACATTGGACATGCGGCCCCTCCACGCACCGTATCTTGGAACTTATTGACATGTATTATGTTATAATATGCTATGACATATGATATTTATGTGGTAGGTTATACTATGAGACGTTTGTGTTATGTTATGCATCTTGTTGTGACTTCCATGTTGTATGATACATGATACCTCTATTTGTTATACTATGCACACTATGCTAGCATGTTCACTTCAGATTTATGAAAATACTCTTAAGTCATATATGTTATTCAGGAAAGTTATGTTAAAAGAACGGAGGTATGACCTGCATCATAGATATATGTTATGATTTGAAGCTATGGGAACCTAGTGCATTTTGTGTGTCACGTGCATCGAGATACTTTCTCCTTAGGATGAGTACAGACGCGTATACTACTATATTATGTACACCATGATATTATATACACTCCTTTCCCTTTGCATCTTTTTTGGCAATGTGAGTGTGCGCTAGTCGAAGACCAGGTCCAAGAGGTACGTATACAGGCCCTCCTGGGGTCCATGTGTGCATACGTGGGCCATGTGTAGAGAAATAATGCACATCGAATCGACACAAACTAGAAAGTCAGACCCAGGTCATAATCATAATGAAAGGATAGGTCCCAACATGGTTGCATGTGTTTGCATTTTCTAACCTCAATAGTAGGGTTACTTATTGAATATTTTTTAAAATACTCGAGACATATGGTACTTTTATTTTTTAAGTAAAGGTAGAGCGCCTCTACTTAGATGATGGCGTCACTATAGAAGCCATGAAATCTAACCTAGGATAGTTGTAATTCTTTTTAAATTGAAACCTTTATGCTAGATCAAGGGGTTATCATTCCTTTGACCTTAACCAATTTGAGTTTTTTCATTATATTTTATTAAAATGAATTATGTGAATGCTTAAATCCATAATGTTCTTTGTGAAATGTTTTATATAAACTTTTCAAACATATTAGATATACCATGCATGTTATAGCGGCTTTATTTTAATAGTAAAAAAAAGATTGCTACAAACTATTAGCGCTACATAAAGTTTCAGGTATCATACTCTGTTGCATATATAGTTAGCATATAAATTAGAGTTTATAGGAAAATACTAGGCTTTGCATAGTAGTTATCATGTCATAACATTTCGTACTCAAACATAAACATCATTCAAGTTGGAACTTAAGTGAAATACTAGGCCCTACGTATGATGGTATAGCATTTCATACTTAATCATGATCACCATTCAATTAGAGCATATGTAGGATACTAGGTCCATCCTGCATCGAAATTCTCATGTCAAGATATAGGATTTTTACTTAATCATAATCATCATTCAATTAGGGCATAGGTAGAATACTAGGTCACATATCGTAATTCTTGTGTCAAGCTATATCATGTCATTCACTTTCTTGTTCCTCATACAAACCATAGCTTCAATATTTATCCAATTAACTACTTATCTTAAAGTTTAAAAGGTGAGAAATAGTATATTTCTTTCTTCAATAGTTATCAAAAACTCTTAATTAAACCTTAAAATCACACTGAAAACTAGCATGGTTGAAACGAGTTAAAAGTTCGAGAAAATTGAACCAAATTGATTGAATTGAACTAGACAAATTAAAAGAAACTAGATCGAATCAGTTGGATCAAGTGTGTCAGTTTGAACTTTGTTCTACATTACTTTTATTGAAAAGATGATTTCAGTAAGAATATATGAATTTATTTTCTAAGACACATATTAGGACCTTCACTTATTTTTTAATTCGATAACTCATACTTATGGTTTATGTTTTAATTTTTTATGTTGTTCTCATTTAAAAAATAAAAATTTTATCGTGTTTTGATACACTCTATATGATATTGGTTAGGGAGGAGAACGAAACACCTTTAAAAGGATGTAAAAATCTTTCCCTAGTAGACGTGTTTTAAAGGTTTGATGAGAAGTCTGAAAGAGAAAGTCCAAAGAGAACAATATCTATCAGCGGAGCGATGGGCTTGAACTATTACACTCCATGTCAGTTACATTGCGATCTATGAAGAAAGTCGTGACGATAAGCATCCGATAATCAGATTCCACAATAATTTTATAAGAACCTAAGACTAGAGTATTTTTTTTTATACACCCATGCTACTCCTTTTTTAGATGAGACATGAACCTACATGACAAATGTCCTTTAGAGCATTGAGACTATAGGACATACATAAAAGTGATTATTGTAATATAAAACTTATGTAAAATTTTTATGGTCAATGCTAATAAATGATCCGACCCTAGTTTTTTTTTTTTTTTCAATATTGTCTTAGTCATTTAATAAATTTAAGCATTTCATCTAATTTAACAAGTTTTTCACCGTTATTGTAAAATTTTTATCCCTCGTGATTTAATAGCAACTCCCAATCATACGTATATGCTCCATATGGAAAATGAGTTGATAAAAATAGGGTAACTTTTATGATCCCTAATTATTAAATATTTGAGGAAGGATAACATATTAGTTTAATAATGAAATTTTCTTATGAGATTGTTAATGGTTAGTAGTCTAACATTTTTATTGTTTATTTTTTATAACAAAAAAACTTAGAGATATTCAACCATGAATTCAATGGGAAATGAATATTGACATTATATTATCATTTTGTGATAATAAGAAGAAAAAGTAAAGAATAAACTAAAAATATTTGATGCAAGTTATGTTTAAAACTTTTTATATTTTCATTTAAGTTGAAAGCTA